TCAACAATAGAGAGAATTTTTTTTATCCTCTTAGCAGCCAGGGGGCCAGTGCAAGGGCTTACAATAGGTACACATCCAAGGACAGAGAAGAGGTGTACTCAGGGTAATAGAGAATAGAAGAGACGTGCTCTGGGTAACACCGAAGTGGGGTGATATATCCTGGGTAATAGAGAAGAGAGAAGGTGTACTCCAGGTAGTAGAAAGGAGAGGAGATGGGGTCAGATAATAGACAAGAGGGAAGACAATGAAGCAAGATGGGATGAGAAGAAAAACACAAAACCCTTAGTAAGAAGCCTGCTCACTGGGACTGTTAGACGTGCGATCCCACAAAACTTCAGTGAAATCACCAAAAGTGACATTACACTCTGCGAACCTGGGAACCTGGAATTCTTGCAGAAGTCAAGAGAGGTGCTGAATTATTAGAGACAGTCCGTTTGTGGATGGGAATGGTCAGTCATCTTCTCTGTAGTATGTGGTGGTGGTGTGCTGTCGAACATATCCCTGCTGACTGCAATCCTACATACGGGTTCTGAGGCTATAATTAATTATGGGATAGGAGTCTCAGGACTCTGTAAGAGGGTAAATGGCTTTCTTTCTGCTCTTGACAGGAGCAGAAACTTCATCTTTCTCCAAGGAGTGGCTGGTAGATTCTAACAGTTGACCTTGCATTTAGCTGCCCAGCTCATAACTGAGCACTCTACCAGGGCTCCTTCTGCGATATGCCATACATATTATAATAGCTCAAACAAAACCAGGATGACACGTGGCGACCCCATGTGTTTCTGAGTAGAACTACAATCAACAAGAGTTTCAATTCCTGTCATCAGAACAAATCACCAGTACTTTCTTCCAAGGCAAATGAAGCATAATTCAAATGAACCACCAAACGGTTTCTTAATAACTGAATATAAATCTATTGCACCACCACCTCCAGAGACTTGATGCTCTTAAGTGTCCTAGAGTCAGTTCTGACTCATAAGAACATTGTATAGGGTTTCTGAGGAGTAGCTGGTGGGGTTGAACCAGTGCTTATTCTATAGCATCACACCAGGACTCCAGAGACCTTATAAAAATAGCTAAAATACTTATATTTCTCTTAGTGCATAAGTATACCTATATACTACAAGGTTGTATTCTTTCACCATACTTATTGAACCTGTATGCTGAGCAAATAATTTGAGAAGCTGGGTTCTATGAAGAAAAACATGGCATCAGGATTGAAGGAAGACTCATTAACAACCTGCGATATGCAGATGATACAACCTTGCTTGCTGAAAATGAAGAGGACTTAAAGCATTTACTGATGAAGATCAAAGAGCACAGCCTTTGGTATGGATTGCATCTCAATGTAAAGAGAAAAAAAAAATCCTTACCACTGGACCAATAAACAACATTCGTATCAACCGAGAAAAGATTGAAGTTGTCAAGGACTT